CTATGGTAGGTCCCTTAAGATACTTGCGCGACACCGGCTTGGGACAGGACTTATGGAGCCTGACCGGTTCTTTGATTGTAGAAAAAAGTAGAGGACGTCGCCCGACTCAAGAAAGAAATATCATGGGTTTATTCTCCACAGTAGGTACAGCATTTTCCGACTACCTACACCTAGGAGGCGGTTGCAGCAGTTGTTGTTGCTAAAAACAACATGAGAACTCATTTCAAGGCGTCCAAAATACACATCCTCAAAACGGCAAACCAGACTCAGACAGACATGCCAATCACGCGTGAATTGGCGCGAAATCACGCTCGTGTCCCCAATGATTGCATGTTTATATATCTGCGAATCCGGGGAGCAATGGGACCGTTTACTGACGTAGCACAGTAAATTACCACTTGCCACGTAAATTAGACACTTGAAACAAGCCACATGTAGAGGCTTCTTGGATGAACCATGCTGGTCGCGGCCAATCTCATTCCAATCACCACATGTTTCAATAGAGGTTACTGAGACAGTGCTAATGAAAAACCGTATATGTTGATATTGATTGGGATGGTAAGTGTTGTTCCAGGACACATACAACCCATATTGGGATTTGATGTTCTATCGCAACCATCATCGTCATCATCAAGCACCCAATTTAAAGGGTAACACTGGTGTTCTACTGGCGTACAAGTTCGTCAATTTATTTGTAGTGGAAAAAGAAATGATATTGGAACAAGGGCGAAAACTCAGGGCTATCATTTAGCCGGAGATGTCCACGCCACCGACGAACAGTCAAACAATCTGGATAGAAACTGACACCATGAACGACAATGACATAACTAAGTCGCCTTGTCATTCGGCATTTGTAGTCAATCAAAGGATTGAATGTCCATTCAACCGAATATGCTGCACATTGTTTTGTGCTTCATTTCAACAGATTTGCTGAGACGAGATACATCACCACCATCATCACCATCACCGTCATCATCTCTGTGTGAGTTCAAAATTCGTTTGAAATTTTATTCAATAGAAAAGCATCAAAGTCGATAGGAAAATGAATTATGCAGGCCTACCCCGATCAGTTCGATGCGCCCACAGCTTCAAACGTTCACTCAGGCGATCCAAATCGAAATGTACAAAAACAACTACACCAACAAAGATTCAAGGGCATGATTTGCAACGTATTTAACCAGTCACGGTGGGGATCAGGCGGTCCTCCTCAGAGGCCAACCTCATCGGGAGGATTAAGAGAGACATTTTGGACGCATCAGTCTAAACGAAACGAAGAAAACTGAACTATGGTAGGTATCACAAGATACCGGCGCAAACCCGGCTTGCTATAGGAATTATAGAGCCTGAGCGACTTTTTGGCATTAGAAAAATTATGTGGCTTGGCAACGTCGTCAGGCCTTTGGAAGTGTAATTATTCTTTCAAAAAACTACCGAGTAAAATTTTGATTCCCAAATTGGTTATTTGGTTTTTATTTATTTATTTTTGTTTTTATCCATTTTTGTTATCATTTATTTCATTCTGTTTTGTTTTAGTTTTAGTTTTGTTTTTATTTAATTGTTTCTCTTTATTTTGTGCATAATAGAATGATGTGACTCTAATCTGAGATGCATCAATTTCTGCCGTCCACTGCTTCGCGTACAGTACAATGAAGTCTATGAACAGATATATTCTTTTTGATTTATTTATGTGGTCAAAAAGTCTGACTGAGTAGGAGTTCGTCTGACTTGGATAACCTGATTTTCCAGTTCGCGGGGATTAGCGAACACGGGAAAGATAGATCATCGGTTCAAGTTTCAACCTAAAAAATACATTTTCTCACTGCCTACACCCAGGAGGCGGTGGTGCCAAATGGCAGCATATGTTGATAACCTCTTCTTCCTAGGTTCCCTAGTGAAGCCATCCGGTACTCCCATACTTTTACATCGATTGTAACCAAAGAAAAATGACAGCTTAAGAATGCTGCCAAATAAGGTGGAATAATGCTCGTTTCCCCCATAAGATATATATATATATATGCAGGAACCCGAGGAGCTATAATGTGACCAATGAGCGATAGGCAATTCGAAACATCAAGTATTGCAGACAACACATTCGCAGTTGACCCATCATTCCGGTTTGTCAGTAGATCACAATGACCTTGGGATTTTCCAAAAGGCAGACTTCCCATCCCCTGAAATAAACGTTACAGAGACACTTATCAGTGCATTGCCAAATAAGATGTTGTTCTGTTCCATACAATGCAGAAGCAGCTTATCATGCAACTAAAGCTCTGCACTTTAGTATTCAGGTGTACGTAGAGAAGGATCCGATTAAACAATAAACAGAATTCCAGAAACTGTTTCTCCAACATCACGGCATTGCACTAATGTCCACCGAACCGATAGTACTTTCACGTACGTTTGCTCGTTGGGGTTCATCACGAAATTCAAATTTACACCAACTAACTTTGTGAGGACCGGACCCAAGCGGAGTGTCCGATCTGCCGGCGTACCTTTCGAATGTGCGCTTCGTTGTACTTGCGAGTTCACGAAGCAGGTACCTTTCATCACGTTGTTGCCCGTCAGTTACTAAAGCGTGCGTAAATTAATCTGATGTTCAAACCGTGCTTTTCAACATCTTAGGACCATTAATTGAACATACTCGTGGCATCATCATGTTCGATGAAAGCACGTGTTGTATTCACACTAACTATCCGTTACAATAGACGAATATGTCATTCACCACTGGTATTTCACGGGATTTAGTTCATCATGAGATATGTTCGAACCATTTCACGCAACGAGCTTGTTCAATGAGGATATCATCACCTAGTTTCGTTCAGACTTGGGTGGCACCACAATGACTGTGTGCAGTGTAAACCTACTCTTACACTGGGTTAACTATAGATAGTTCATATATATTTGAGGACATTTTGCACCATAGCACACAATTATTTGAAGTAAATCCTATTCAACGCCATTGCTTGGTTATCCAAAAATGACACTATCTATGCTTGGATATCGAGATGGCTGTTCTAGCTATCCAGGTCTACTTCGCTTAAGGAAACTCAAGTTCCTAATCAACTATTTTCAACCTTGACCGCCACGTTTCAAGGGTTACGTAATAAAACTTTCATCTGGTCAAATACACTCACTTTCATTACGGACTGGTTTTTCACAAGTGATCCTTTGTGACCCACCATTTAACCGTATTCCATGACGTGACTACTTTTCGTCCCATTTTTCACATCTTCATACTGTGGACGAAGTGTACACTTCTTCAGGTCTTTCTGCGCGACTGTGAGAAATAACGACAAGGAGAAATAATATGAAGCGGACCAGTGGAACATCACGAGAGTTAAGACATACGATGCATTGAATGACACATACTACTGATGAACCGAGGAGGACTCCAATATTCCAGGACACAATACACATACGACACATGTTGGGAAGTTGACGCTCGATGGCAACAACGAAAGAGACCACTAGTGATCCACTGCCAGACAAGCACACCAATTTACATGTAATGGGAAAGTAGAGGACACTGGGTCACGAAGTAGAACGTAGGGCTGGCCTTTAGCCACGGAAAACTCGCAAGCTGATAACTACGAACAGAGAATAGATGAAAACCATCTCGATCTACGACCAACAAACGGAACATTTTCAGATCAGTTTTAGATAAAAACATATGGCTTCTTGGATATCCGTGTTTAAAATGTAGGATCGCCCAAGAGGGTCATAATATATTTCCTCAGCAGTTTATATATTATGAAGATATTTGATTTGACAAATGTAATCAGGCTGAAAAGAGCGCGTTTCCGAAAGAGCCGAGTGTTACTGATCCAACGGCAAGATGTGAAAACTAGCTAAATTGGACAACTGCCTCCAACAATCTTCTTGCATTGAAAACCATAGGAATGAACCAACAGACGTCCAGAGTATCGCATTTCTATCCCCGTATTCAATTGGGCCATGCAAAAATGAGTCTAGTGGAAGTTAATTTAGCTACTGATTATAACCAGCAGCGTATACAAAACAATATCCTCAACTACGCGTTCGCTATGCTTCCGTTTCCGCGGGTTTCTTGTTGTAATTTCCTATCTGTGAGAGCGCCCGTCAATAAGCTACTATTCAAGACCACTTTCAACTTTCTGCCCAATAACAGCCGCCCTAATGACAACGTGTTCATCTTCTACTCTGGCCATGGTGGGATTTCCTTTATTACCTTCCTAAATGAATATGTAAGTTCAGTTTATTTTGGCAACCACGGTTTTAGCACGCAGTTTTTTTAGTTGGAAGCTAAATAGTGAACGGATTGAAAACGCTTACGTAAACGTGTTGGTGCAATGGCATCGGTAATTCTTCATAAAAGGGAGTTCATAGTCAAGCTGTTCTACACATCAACCGGAAAACGGAACACAAGCTACGATGTTCGTACGTCATTCTCAAGAGTGCTATTCCCAGCAATTCAAGTTTGATGGGTCTAGTCAAGCTGGGTTAAATCACAACGTCTCATAGATTTAGTTTTACAAAGTGTAAGGTCGTTCGACTCACATGATTTCGCGGTCGATCCATTCAGCCTGCTGAGCAAACGTAGATAACATAAACCAAGAAAATGGTCGCATGCGGTCACTCATGAGTTGTAGATGATACAAAGCACGCATCAGCCGAATTCTTCCTGACAAGACAACATACTGCTTTTCGCTTCCAGAGCGACGGCACGAATCTTTAATAGCACGAAGTGTTTGTATTTATGTATGGATTACCAGTCTGTGATGGAAAGCCGAGAAGCAAAGTACAACTGTTCCATCCCTGTTTGGAATCATCCGTGGTGCGCTTGATAGATGCAACGTGTAACCGTTCGACCACTTGTGACCAACTAACAGCCTGATTTATCCGCAATAAGTCAGGACATAACGCCACCCATTCTTCAATCAAGGGATCCACATCACTGGTGGCTCACTCATCGGGTGACTCATCTCGAGCTCACGAGAATTTTTCTTCTTGTCTTGCGACAGCTAAATGCTTTGGAGTTGAACGATACCATCGCCTACATGCATTCCAAAAAATGTTCAACAAAATGGTGCTATACGTGGATCATAACGCCATCTTCAATCAAGGGATCCACATCACTGGTGGCTCACTCATCGGGTGACTCATCTCGAGCTCACGAGAATTTTTCTTCTTGTCTTGCGACAGCTAAATGCTTTGGAGTTGAACGATACCATCGCCTACATGCATTCCAAAAAATGTTCAACAAAATGGTGCTATACGTGGATTCTTGCAGCTCTGGCTCTATGTTTCGCGATGTTCTTCCTTCAAATATGGAAAGTAAGTGGCGTTAATTTCTGGCTGATTCTTGCAGGGCTCCTGTGAAATAGCGTTCATAATGTCAATGACATATGGTTTAAAAGCGGCGTTGACCAATTAAACAGAACGAAGTCCCAAGCTTGATTTATCCTTGTCCTCTTCGCGATCTTTGTATGGAAGTAGCCCTTGACTCTACGCAACAAGTGTTTAGCCGATGATAGCACAAAATCCAGCCTTCATCGATTAGTGCCGCCTCCGCTGCTGCACCCGTTTCATATGGGTGGAGGAAATCATTGTGTGTCCGTTACAACCCCTGTGATATTTTGGTGTTCATTTGTAGCAGCCACCAATGCCAAGTGGATATTTTCGTTGTAAAATTAAAATGGATCGTGGGTCTTTTATAAAAAGTACGCTTCAACCCATCATCCAACAGGGCTAATGAACGTGGTGTGACTATCTTTGACGGTTCTCATCAGTGGTCATTTTCCACGGAGTTTTACCGTGAAAAGCAGATTAAACATTCACACACTTATTTGATTTTGACGGACTGACCCAACCAAACCGAGACAAATGTCTCGTTCATGAGTGTTTTCGGCAAGTTCTGCCCAGTCTGGGTTCAAGTCTTGAATAAGTTTTAGGGAAATTCAAAGATTGCGTCTACTTGATTCACCGCAATAAGCATGAGGACCATTATGTTCTGCCAATGAAATGTCCGCACCTTCTGAGTGGTGTGTTAGTACTAGACGTCTTGTAGCTTCATTATTTCTCTGAGTCACAGGATGCGTTTATCGATAATTTAACTCACAACCTCACATATCTTTGATACTGACCTATACTATCTGTTGTCTGAACCCCGAAACCTGCAGTCTACCTGACAACATCATCCAACGAAGATGAACCATCCTATTCTTTGTTTTGTTCGGACAAGGAAATCGATGTTTGTCTAGCGGACGAATACTCGTACGTCTGGGTTATAGATTCAGAATTCGTAAGTTTTAACGGAACTGCTGCAGATAGGCCTGTCAGTTTTGCATGGGTAATCCGGTAGTATTTATCAGCCATTGCTAGTCCATTTGATTCCCAAATTCATTTATTATTTATTTTCAAGCATGAAGAGGATTTATTGCAATTCAGTAATCACGGCCGTCCGGTGGCCCCAAAATAATCAAACCATTGGTTGTATGTACGAAATTTATCACTATCCTCCCAATCAGGTTCGCCTCTGATCTTGCAGAGTGACATGAAATGGTCTCTAAAAGTCTGGGTGCTATCAGTGCAATTCCTGCTCTACGATGGAGACCGCCTGATTCCCATTCAGATCGCCTGAGTAATTGTCTGAAGCTGTAGGCGCATCGGAATAATTGTTGTGGGCCAGCAGCAGATGGTTTCCCCATCCATTTCGATTCTTCTCTTTCGAATAGGTCTTCAAATGGATATTGAATGCACTCGCGGAAGCGACGAAGTTGACTACGGATGTTGAAATTGATGTTGATGTCATGATGATGATATTATCATCATCATCATCAATGATGACGATAACGACGATGATGTCGCTGGCGGATACCCTGAACGCCTTTGTGTAGGCACGTCTGTCGAAATGAATCAATATGCCAATGGCGTTCATGATGTCAGTTTCTATTCGGATTGTCTGACTTGGTCTCGGATATGTAGGTATCTCGGTTGTATGCTGTAGCCTAGCCCTGGTTTCCCTTCCTGTTCCACTATCCGTTCTTTTTCTGCTACAAATAATTAGAAATGCTTGTACGGCGGTGAATCATCAGTATTTGCCTCTATTTTCCCCGCCATCATGATGACGATGACGATGATGTTGATGATGGTGTTGATGGTGTTGTTGATGTTTGTGATTGTGATCAACATCATACGGCATCATATCCTTTAGGTAATTTGCATGAGCATGTATGGTGTCCAAGAACCGCGGAGTGCTCAATAATTTATCAGCAATATTTTGTTACCGTCCTCAGTTGGCTTAACTATAGTGAGAATTTCAATGTTTTGACTACCACGGATTCGTCTTAAAGTGCGTAAGCTGATCTGCCTGCCCCCCTATGTCATTATCTTTCACTCGCACGCAGAATGACCTAAAAACGCATACACTGGAGGAACAATACACAATGGTGAAAAAGAATACAGCATTGAGTCACGTGATGAAATACGGCGAAATGGTGGGTCAAAAAATGCCACGGAGTGATTCATTTGTTTCACGTGTGGAAAGTCAAACTGTTGTGACAATGAGTGTATTTATCGACATAACAGTTATCATTTGTTACCTGTAATAGGTGACGGTAAATGCTGCAAATACTTGATTAGGAACATCAGGTTTCACAGACGAATTTCAGCAAAGATGCTAGTCCAGGCCTCTAGATATCGAAGCCTTGCCAGTGTCACTTTCCGGATAACCAAGCAATGGCTTTGGGTACCTAAAGATTCATGAGTTTCTGTGCTGCGGTACAAAGTAGGTAGAATTTTAATGAATCCTTTACAAGTAATTGGGAGAAGAATAGAGTTACGTGATGATTGAAACATCTTTCTGGAAGGTTGACTTTTGCGGAGCCGATCAATACGCGCCACCTGATGTGGTTTTCCTTGACTAATCGACAAGAAGCTTGGAGCTGAACGAGCGAACTTAGGTGATAATAGTAGTGCTATGCACTGATGTTTGTGAGTTTGTGTGTGAACTGATAGGTGTCTGTTAATTGTGTATTTCAGGCGATGGGAAGCCTCCCAGTTGGAAAATTCCAAGGTCATTATGATCTACTGATGGACCGGAAAGATGGAGCCATAGCAGTATGTGTTCGGAGCGATATTCGATATTTTGAACTGCCTATTGTAACAGTTATTTCCTACGAAATTATATGTACAAGGAATCAAGTGACCACTCCACCTTGCAATGAGAGTGCAATATGTTAGGCTGATAGCAAATCACTTCAGAGATAAAGGCACTTACAACAATCAGAGTCATTGTCGACGCTGATTCCTAAATAAATTACACAGATAGATAGATAGTAGATAGATAGATAGATAGATAGATTAGATAGATAGATAGATAGATAGATTAGATAGATAGATAGATAGATAGATTAGATAGATAGATAGATAGATAGATTAGATAGATAGATAGATAGATAGATTAGATAGATAGATAGATAGATAGATTAGATAGATAGATAGATAGATAGATTAGATAGATAGATAGATAGATAGATTAGATAGATAGATAGATAGATAGATTAGATAGATAGATAGATAGATAGATTAGATTGATAGATAGATAGATAGATAGATAGATGGATAGATAGATAGATAAACGGAACAAGGGTGTCTTGGATCAAAACACCGAGCATCTCATGATTGCCTGTAGTATGATCAGTGATAATCGAGCTGATTTTGAAAACCTATCAGTCCAAATAACAAGCGTTTCAACGATTGCAATTATTCGTCGATTTCATATTACATCCTCTGACGGAACATGGTGTTTACCACTGACCAAGGAAACGAACACAGAAATTATCACCTACTAAACTCAACGTGCTAACTAATCCTGCAACGGAATCGTTGTTTCATCAACGAGTTTCATTGGGTATGTTCACGGCATAAAACTACACATGATAGTTGAGGCCTCGGTTCAGATATTCAGCGAGCTCGATGAAAGTTCAGTGATGGTCTTTGTACTTTATGCGTATTTACAGGAGAATTAATTTCGTCAGCAATTTGCTTTAACCTGGCAACCGAGTGATATTGTGTAGTTTCTTCCAAATGGTGGGTATTCTAGGAAGTGAGTTCTTTCGGTAAGCATTGACAGAGCTCATGTTAACAACAAGTGTTGATCAATTGTTTCCCTGATTACAGTCAAATGCTGTAGGTAGAAAGCCCTCTTGCCAGGCGCATTTGTTTTCAAAGTTCCGACGCTTGGTGGAGGCCGCAACCGAAGACGAACATGATAGCGCTTGGCGAAAGCTGCACCGTGAACTTCCGGTTTGTAGTTTTCTCTTCTTGTCCAGCTGAATGCAAGATAAAAGGTTATTTAACATACAGTATATTCGTGTGGTGAAAATAGGTATTGAGGATGCATGGGTGCAGGTAAACGTCATCAGTCCAATGTTTATCGGCCGTTTCTTCAAGCCACCCAAAAATCGAACGTGATTCTTTCAGATGTGCGACAAATCGTTTTATAGTCTATCTTCACCCTCCCGCAACTATTCTTTTTGCTTCTTTCAGCTTGGCCTCATCGTCAAGGAAATGTCCAGTGACATCGTCATGGATGTGACAACCCAACATAAGCCAACGCAAAAGTTATTGTCCAAGAGGGATGAGCTCGTGTGTTTCAAGGCAGTATTCGATCAATTCCGAGCGCACTGCTTCACAATTCGCCAGGCAAGTTGACCTAGTGATGCACGAAAACAAGGGTGTGCAAAAATACGCATACTTTACTAGCCAGCATCCACCCACGGCATCGCGTAAGGCGAGCCTCATTCCCAAAATTCCCCTTAGATAAGCGTTCAGCAAATGAAATTTCGGGGCAAATGTGGTGCTCGATGTAGAGTTTATTTCAGTTCAGTTCAATTTTAGTTCAGTTCAGTTCAGTTCAGTTCAGTTCAGTTCAGTTCAGTTCAGTTCAGTTCAGTTCAGTTCAGTTCAGTTCAGTTCAGTTCAGTTCAGTTCAGTTCAGTTCAGTTCAGTTCAGTTCAGTTCAGTTCAGTTCAGTTCAGTTCAGTTCAGTTCAGTTCAGTTCAGTTCAGTTCAGTTCAGTTCAGTTCAGTTCAGTTCAGTTCAGTTCAGTTCAGTTCAGTTCAGTTCAGTTCAGTTCAGTTCAGTTCAGTTCAGTTCAGTTCAGTTCAGTTCAGTTCAGTTCAGTTCAGTTCAGTTCAGTTCAGTTCAGTTCAGTTCAGTTCAGTTCAGTTCAGTTCAGTTCAGTTCAGTTCAGTTCAGTTCAGTTCAGTTCAGTTCAGTTCAGTTCAGTTCAGTTCAGTTCAGTTCAGTTCAGTTCAGTTCAGTTCAGTTCAGTTCAGTTCAGTTCAGTTCAGTTCAGTTCAGTTCAGTTCAGTTCAGTTCAGTTCAGTTCAGTTCAGTTCAGTTCAGTTCAGTTCAGTTCAGTTCAGTTCAGTTCAGTTCAGTTCAGTTCAGTTCAGTTCAGTTCAGTTCAGTTCAGTTCAGTTCAGTTCAGTTCAGTTCAGTTCAGTTCAGTTCAGTTCAGTTCAGTTCAGTTCAGTTCAGTTCAGTTCAGTTCAGTTCAGTTCAGTTCAGTTCAGTTCAGTTCAGTTCAGTTCAGTTCAGTTCAGTTCAGTTCAGTTCAGTTCAGTTCAGTTCAGTTCAGTTCAGTTCAGTTCAGTTCGGTTCTGTACAATTCAGTTCAGTTTAATTTTACTTCAGTTTAGCTTTGTTTAGTTCAGCTTGAACTGGGTTCCAACCAGCGTAATGCAACCACCACAAAAATTTGATAGATATATTTTGGAAGTGACACTGAACAGCGTAGTGGTTTCTTTGTTGGTGAAGGGTCCTTGTGTGCAATACTGCTAAGGAATGTACTCTAGCATGATATGGCTGTCAAATCTGGCTGGAATCGTTAGGTTTGTTCCTCAAAAATGCACAATTTGGGGGAACATTTACAGAACAAATCGATATCTCATCGACAGAAAGTCGGAATAATTGGTGCGCTAAAACTGTGGGAAAGACAAGCCCAAGATGATACCGATAACCAAAAGAACTCAGGCCAGTTTATATGAAAACCTGTGTCTTACTTTGAATGTGCATCTTGGTTCCAATGTTTTGACAACTACTTTGAAACCTTCGGTTATTCTTTGTAGGATAGTATATACACAGCTCTTTGATCATCGAGACCACCCCTTTTTTACAAAACACGGATGCTCAGCTATTGCGCCATGTGATTCATTATGGTTCACCCTTTTGACTATCGGTACTGTGTTCTTCTACACTGTTTGTGTAGAGAAATTCTGCAAGAAATTTCACCATTTAGAATTGATCAAGGACATACACGCAAAAACACTTCATCATTGTCACCTCTTTCCGGAACGCATACCATGCCATTGTTGATTCCAAGAATCGTCCAATCTTTTGGGACCCACAAAACCAATCTGTACAGAGGAAGTTCATAAAAAAGTACAGGCAGTCTCCTGGTTCCTTTTCTTTCAGAGGATTTTGTCTAATTGCGGAAATTTGTAAAATGGAAATAACCAAGACACTTTTGTAATGCACCACTCATAAGGTTGCTGAAAATTCCCCGAAAGCACACGACCGGTTTCGCCCTTCTTGGGGCTCATCCGGTAGGAGGATTTCCCGAGATCCCATAAGCTTTGTGTTCTAGATAATCATTCAGCGAGAGCCAAACTTCATTGGCGATTCACTTGTGTCCCCTGTCGAAACCAAATGCGATTACAAGCGGGAGCGTTTGTCGAAATCTGTCGGGTTTAAGTAGAACATGAGGTTGACGGATACTCTGAGACTACGACTATCTGATGAGCCTAAAGACGGGGCGAAACCGGTCATCCATTTACTACGTATTTTTATCGTAGCGTTCAAACAGTATCACTCAGCTGCTACTTAGCTGAACAATTTTGCATATTCTTCGCTAGCGTCGTGCGAGTTTATATCAAAACGCTACGAAATATCCAAAATTCAGCCATGCCGACACTCACAAACCCCACTCACAAATACCGGTTTTAGTCGCGGACCCAATATCCACATGACATTCAGTGTGGCTCACTGGCAAAGTTCCCCACTGTTTGGCATAATGGCCAAATTTTCACGAGAAAGCTGACGCCTGTTGGCGGACTTGAAGAGGAATCATTTGGGAACACACCTTTCTGTTCGTTTGAAAGCATTTTCAGTCATTATTACAAATATATGCTCAAAATGTAGGAGTCATTCGCTTCCATGAGTATAATGTCTTCCAAGCTGAGATCCTGTTATCTATCTGTCTTCAGTTCCCCGAGGTAGCCCAGCATACACCTCACTTAAAGCGTGTTTTGCTAGCATCACGAAACATGCGTTCTGATTTTCATCAAGCTAGTCTTCCAAGGATGGTTCAGTAAAACCCAGAAGTATTTAGATCAAACCATCCGGATTCTAATGTCTTGTGGAGTCCAGACGCCTCCACATTTGTGACATACCAGTGCACGATAGGTGCATAGGTCGAACAAAATTAGCCTAGTCGGCCGACATAGATAGAACAGCTGTGTGTAGCCTGTCGTTTCAACACACTGCTCAAATTTCAGTCTTTCTCCTGATCACTCTAGCCGATCACCTGATCATCCTGATGTTAATCTGCGTGGAACTGGAAGGGATCTACTCCAAGCCAGATATATCTAGTCCAGAATCATTATCCAGGTACTCCAAAGAAGAAATGTTGGGTATATCGGATGCGCATTGCCGCACAGAAATCAGCACAATGGACAGTCCGATCACCAGGTGAGGAAGAAAACCTGTTTAGGAACTGACCAACCAAACGTCAGGCGACAAAAAAGGCCGGTTGTTCAATCGGTTGTTACACAACGAAATGTGTACAACTATACCTGAAGTGACCTGCTACCCATAAGATTGCTGAACAGACTTCAGCATCTCACCTGGGGTCTCACTGTTCTTGGTTTCATTTGATAGGAATAAAATCAGATGTTCATTTAAAGCAAGGTTGACAGAAAATCGCAGACGAATAAATCAACATCGATCGTGATTCTGATTGAAACCTGAAAGCTAATCACATTCGGTCGTGCTTCTGTTGCGTGCATGGACGCTCGTCGTCTTTTGCTGAATTGATTGAATGTTTGACTGACTTGGATGCTTGCCGGCTTTCCTATTCAAATTTTGGTGGAATTTTAGGGTCTCAGCAGGTTCCGATCATCCAAGGGTTACTTTCACATATCGAACCTTTCTGTAGATACAAATATTCTCACTTTACCTACTTATTAACGGGGACACAACTGGACACAAATAAATCTATCGTGTATACTGGATTGTAAACTAAACTAAGTTTCAGAATTATGTTCAACGAATAAAACGACTTGTTGGTTCATTCACCTCGGTGCACGAATTACTCGTGTTATTTTTTTTGTCCCAGGGATAAGCCACTTAAACGTTGCCACTCCCGAGGATGTTGAGAAAACCGTATGCAGGAGCATAATATTTAACGCAATCGAAATTCCCGGGACCAGCTTAAAGTGAATTGGTATTTTGTTTCTCTAGGCTGCAGGTTAACCAACTTCAATGATGTCTTCCCTCAATAGAAGACATGATTGAGCAAGTCGCATGAAGCATAACATATCACGTCTTGGCCGGAATGCTATGAAGACGACAGAAGTGAATCATGCAACTCGGTCCAGCCCCCTCCCTAGTTTTTTGATTCACAACAAAAATCATGGTGCAACTAGCAGATGCTCCATATTGGTGTGAATACCTTTGCTCTAGAGAGCTTAAGATAGCTCAGTGATTAAGACGCGAAACTACTGGTCGGATGGTTCGCGGTTCGGGTCCAAACCTGGCATTTCGCGTTCTCCGGTCTAGAATTGGGCAGTAACTGAACCCCCGCAATTGTTTGGGTGGCACGGTATAACATATGAATGAATAAGTTATATACTTTGCAGATGATGTTCTTCAAATGTATCGTTTTGTTTGGACACTATAAGATCAGCCACGAAGGATTCATAAGCATTTGAAACAGCAGGAGTACCGTTAGCAGATTGACTTCTGGTATTGACGGAAAATTGGTACGTCTTAACACCCAGGAAATTTTCTGTAATAGTATTCATAACTTGTTGAAATACAGCTGGTGAAACATTCAGACCAAAGATAAGCAAACTGTATCGGAATAACCCAAAAGGTGTGTTGATCATGGTAGTATTACTAGGGGCTTCTTCCAGTGGTTTTTGCATATGGGCATTCTATAGATCGATTAATAAGGACCTACATGAACCTTATAAACGATACAGTACATCTTCGGGCTATTCTTTAGTGCATGTACATTTTAGTACCCGCGTATTCTGCGTTGGCCAGTAGTCTCCACACATTCTCGGAGTAATACCATCAGCTATTATTGGTTTTAATATCAATTCGATGATCCGACAGGAGTCAGTATTCCTTTCCCGCAAACTGAATTTAATGCTTGATGAGCGGGTTCCTGTACACCAACTGAAATAATTCGTCTCTTATAAAATAAAAGATCTCCTCTGACTTCGAATCTCACCTTGGGTAACTGCATGCCAAATATGGCCTCAGAATATTCTACAATCAGTTGTTTGAGTTCATTATCATTAACAGGAGTCAGTAAGGTGATATTGATTTTCAGTGAACACAAACCTTTGAGTCCGATATTCAATAGTCCCAAGGTTGAAATTGAAAATTTACAATCGAAGAGGTAATTTGAGACAATAGCA